GCTCAGAGGAGCATCTGGTTGGTGAATCCTCTTTTTAGCCCAGTTGGGCCAGCCCAGTGCTAGCACTGAGTGTGTCTCCACACTGAGTGTGACCTTAGTGACTTCTAATGCTTATGTTGCCCTGAAATGTGGAATACCAAAAACTAGGAAGGAATAATGTGGGAAATAATAAAAGCATATTTCATTTCATACCTGGATTTTGTCACTTCCATTAGACTTTCTGGCATCTTCCAGTATTTAGTTTCTCATGTTTGGGCTTAATCTATTTTAGGTTTCCCCAAGGGACTCCAAAAGCTGTTGGAAGATGAAACAATTCAAAAGGTTGGCGTAGGAATTGAGGGAGATCAATGGAAGCTGCTGAGTGACTTTGAAATCCAACTGAAGAGCTTTGTGGAGCTGGCTGACATTGCTAATGAGAAGGTAACACTTCCAACCTTTTCTGTTGTGGGAGGGACTTTTGTTATTGTGCTGCACAGCAGGAGGATTCCTTGTCTTACAGGAGTTCAGTCCTGATGGCAAATGTGCTCTGTGGAATAAAGCAGAGATGTAGTTAAAAACGGTTTAAAAAACACCTCTCTAAGCCTTCAAAACCAAGTACTGTCCTTGAGTTAATGAATATTTGTCCCCTTTCAGGTGTGTTCACCTTCAGTCTGTAAAGGTTTGGCTTTTTGATGCAGCTGCAGGTGTGTTTTCTTTAGCTCTTAGTCATGGACACAGCCAGATGGTGCCAAGTTGGCATTCTCTGGCAGTGGTGTCACTGTCCCAGCAGTGACTGCCCCTTATAGGTAGGATACAAGCAAGCAGCACTCCTTAAAGTCTTCCATGTGGAGGTGTTTGCCACATGTTCTGGAGCTGTAGAGATATCTCATTTCCATGATTCTGAGTTGGTGTCACCTCAGTTCTTGTGTGGGTGCAGTTTCCAGCACCTGATGACCTGTTGTTTATAAGTTGTGCTGCATTTGGCACGCCCTGAGTTCATCTGATGTGAGGAGACCTGTGCTGCCTTCTTAGGGAAGAGAGCAAAGGATTCATTGCCTTCCAAATCATCCTGACTTTTATTTCCAGCATGTTCCTTAGCACTTTTCTCTCTGTATGCACAAGGCTCTTATTTCCATGTGCTTCTCATGCCTTCCGTGATGTCCCATCAGCGTTTGGAGCAGTGCTTTGCCTTGGAGCCACCTTAAAATTTTAGTTCCTTGTGGATTGGAAGTTGTACAAGCAATAAAAGGAGCTGTTACTGCTCAAGTTTGGAGTTGCCTCAGTCACCCCCTTTTTTTTTTCTATCCCATCATTCCACTTGGGATAGTTTGTTAGGAAGATGTGCAATGTGATCTCTGCTGGCAGCCTAAAAGTCTTCTCCTAAAGAGAAAACAAACCAAAAATAAACTTGAAAGTGGAGTTTGACAGAACAAAGAGCAAGGATATATATAATGGCACAATTTAAGGGGATGAACTGGTAGTGCTGCACATAGACTCCGTAGCTGTGTATGTTTTCCAAGCTGGAATAGCAGCAGGCTGTGCCTGTGAGTCCCGGATCCTTGGGCTCTGAGGGAAGGTTCCCAAACTGGCCATTAGGACAATAGTAAGTGTGATTCCAACAGCAATTGTAAGCAGCAGCATGGTGTGGTGACTTCTGGAGACCTGGGATGAGCTGCTTCCCAGCGTGTGGAATAGTGGTTAGCCTGGGCTATAGCTGTGCTCTTGGGCTTAAAAAAGGATGTCAAACATTCACAAGCAGACTTGAATATTCCTTTATTTTTGCTAAATCTTTCCCTGGTGTTTGAGACTGAGTTCTTCTAATTAGAAAGTCAAATAATAGGAAAATCCTGGAGGAGAGAGGAGGTGCTGTTGTAGTCTGTGACTTTTATCTTATCAACCCAGAGACTGCTTTGTACAGATGTTTCCTGAGATATAACTGAGAGCAGCCTGGAAAAACTAAGTATGTTTTGACTAACCTCCTTGCTTCTAACCAGCGACTAAGTGCACTTTGCTCTTTCTGGGGGTACATTATGCCAGGTCCAGTTCTTTTCCTTTTTGAAACAGACTCTCTGGTTTTGGTTGTTCTTTTCCTCCTCCAGCTGAAGTGTAAGGAGATGTGGAGCCTGAATGGTCTGGTCAAACACCTTTTTGGCAAGCAGCTGCTGAAGGACAAGTCTGTGCGCTGTAGCAACTGGGAAGACTTTCCACTCAGTGAGGAGCAGAAGCTCTATGCAGCCACAGATGCCTATGTAAGTACCACAGGGGATCACCATTTCCCCTCTGGCAAGAATTCCTTCTCTAATGTGCTGGTAGCTGCTGATTTTTAGTGTCTTTCTGCTACAGCACCTGACATAGGGAGGCTCTGAGATCCACTGGGGTGCTTCAAGGTGGGAATGGCACCAAGTAGGCTGTCCAATTCCTTATCTGGCTGAAGTTTTTAAACCTCAGAGCTTCACAGGGTGTTCTCAGTTGAGGATGGTACTGTTCAATAACATGTCTTGTTGCTGAGATCACTTACAGGTGAGCATTCCACATGGAAGATTGAATGTAGGTGGACGAAACCCCATTCCATAGCGGCCTTGAGCCTCAGCTCGTTTTGTTTCATGGTGTTTGCCTTTTTATGGCAGACTGTTCAGGAAGCAGAGCTCCACCAAGTCCTGCTGGGCTTAGAACATGCTGGGTAACATGGCACCAAGTATGCCTGAGGAGTGTCTGTCCACTTGGAATCACTTCAAGGTGTCACCTCAGAGAAGTGAGTGTTCGTGGAGCAGTCAGGGGGATTTGTTGTGTGGAGGAAGGCTAAATTCTTGCAGTGTGATTATCCCATGCAGATACAGCTTGCCTGGTCTGTATGTCAGGACAGTAATTACTTGCAGAAGTGCAGAGTGGGTAGATATTGGTGTATTCACTGTAGCTTGTTGCCACTTTTGCATCTGCATATTTTGTAGGTTAGTGATATGTTCAACTCTGGAGGGTTTAGCACCTGTGAACACCCAAATCAGTAAGGAGAAGACCTTTGTTTTGGGTGGCTGGTGCAGCTGTGTAACCATTTTATTCCAGGCAATGCATCTTTCCCACTATGCTCCATTCACCTGACCTGTATTTTGGAGCCTCCCAGGAAGACACGAGGGAATAACTTGTTTCTTTCTCTGTCTTCTCTAAGATGCTTTGGTTAACATGTGTAGCCTAATTAGCACAGTCCTGGCTTTAGGCTGTGTTTTTCTGTTAGAACTTAATATTCATATCAAGGGAAATATTAAACACACAGAATCCTTCTGAGCAGGTTCTTAGCTGTTCTCCTGGAGCAGGGCAGGAAGCCTGAATGAGGTCAGCAGATGGTGAGACTTGGAGCTTTCTGTGTGCAGCAAACTTGCTAGGATAACCAAGCTGGGATCTGTGGGAGAGTATCCACTGCAAAGGGAACCCGAAGTCAGGATTTGGGACATTTGTGCAGCATGCTGGAGCATGTAACCTGGTCCTGATGTACAATGGAGTTGTGCAATGTGTGCCAGCAGTTGGGAATTTGCTGTTCGCCGTTCATTCATGCCGTAGTTTGCCTGATTAAATCCTGATTATTTTTTTTTTGACTTTTTTTTTTGTTTTTTTTTTGTTTTACACTCGGAGTTTTGAGTACTAATGATTCCATTTTTCTTCCACTCGGAGTATTGAGTACTAATGATTCCATTTTTCTTCCAGGCTGGCTACATCATCTATAAAAAATTGAAAAACATGAATAACAGTGACCAGAAATTATTTTGTGTGAGGAAAGGTAAGTGGTACATCCAAGCCTGAGGAATTCATTCAATGTACAATTGCATATTCCATTTCCCACCAGTTTTTTTTTTAACAGCGTCATGGACTGTTTGACTTGTTGATGTTTAGAGATCACTCCCAGAGGGAGCAGACCATAAAAAGTTGGATGCCCAAGGTTGCCATACTGAGGAACTGTTTTCCATAGTGATAGGAATGCAGTCTTAGGATGTTGTTTGTTAGTGTTTGTCTCTGCTGTACACAGAGATGGGAAGAATTCCTG